ACCTAAGCCATCGCAAGCAGCAGAGAAGTTTACCATGCGCGCTGTAGTCGTGATCAAGGTCGAGATCAGATCAGGGTTTGGTACCGGGGTCCGGACCCCCCGTACGAATCAAGGCAAAATAACGTAGAAAATGAAGATACTCACGGCGTGAGTATGATTCGGAATCACATGCTGAGTAAAAATCTGATTCTGAATCTTTGGCGTTCTCGAGTTGACATAGTGTTTGCACGGGCATTTGGAAATTTCCGGGCACGGAAATTTTCCGAAAAATTTCCGCTCCGTTTTCGGGATGGAAAAATACTGGAAAAATAATACTTTTTCGTAAAATTCCATCCGTTTTCGATGGCGAAATGTAATATTCTATCTCAAACGAAATTCGTATCATTCTAAGTTGAGTCCTCGGAAGAAAAAATAATAATAATGACTGCTAGCAGTCTGCTAGTATGTGTATGCCAATTTGGCATTGCCAAATGGAAGTATTTTGTTGCGCGCAGATCTTCCTTTTCTTCGCTCGCCCAAAATTCTTTCTACGCTGATGATAGCTCGATACAACAGTGTTGCTAGAATAGATTGTGACACAACCACTGTGCTCATCTGACGTCGGGCATGTCCATCTCAGAGTTCTTTCTTCATAAAAAAAGAACTCGTTCATATCTCAGAACATCTCAGAAGTTCTAGTCCACATTGTACTTTCGCATCGCATCGGTGATGCCCGGCCTGAGGGTCTCTTGGCATTTTACGAACACATCATTGACAATACCACAAATCTCCCAATCGTTATAGATGGCTGCGATAGCCAACTCATCTCGATATTTCAACACCGCATCCTTGGACGGCACAGGCGCAAAATGTTGCGTGATAGGACTCCTATCATAGGAGTATTACCAATGGTAATACTCCCATCACGCAACATTTTAGGGTAATTTACCATCTTCCCTGAACCCTGTAGTACAGGGCCTGTACTGACGGAGATTCGTCTGTGATCAAAAGCTCGCGCTGGAGGGTTGGCGGGAGTGGGAAGGTCAGGCACTGTGTCGGTATCGGAAGAGACACAATCAGTGGCGCTAAGACCTTGCAGAGCATGCGGGTGGGACTTCAATATGTGATCGTGGAATCTCGTGGGATTGTCTATTGCATAATCTCTTCCCGGAAGATTTTCCCGCCCCTCCTCCACGCAAAGTATACAACGATGGACACTGGTCGTCTTGCCATCTTCGACTGACTTCTTCACAAGGTAATAGTAACCTCGACAGCCCGGACGACCCCTTCCAGAGCCTCTACCCCGACGCCCTGATCGTCCGGTGGTCATTTTGGGCAACATCATACGCTGTCGAGGAACCTTCCGTTACAACACTACCATCATAAGTTTATGGGTTACGATTGTGAATCATCGGTACATGTAATTAACGCAATACACTGGCATTAGCATTGGAATTGGAATTGGCACTGAAATGGCAACGCAACAACCTCTAGTACTAGAGCGCTCGCCCGACAGGGCGAGCGAAAATTTCTCTATTGATTATATTTCGGGAAAAATTTCCGGAAATTTCCCGGAAATTTTCCATTCCGGAAATATTTTAGCGTGCCCGGGCATATCAAACACTATGCGAGTTGAGTAAAATACTCACGAGTATGAGTTTTGAATCACAATCACGTTGAAAAAATCTAGAATCATGATTCTTACTCACTGGGTTGAGTATATACTCTGACTCATTGATTCACAATCAGAATCAATGGCTGAGTATGATTTAGTCTTTCGACGTGAGGAGAGGGATAATACATTGACGGAAGCGGCGCGATTTAGGCGAGCGCAAAAGCCACCTGAGTTTGCGTGCTCAACTATTAGCTATTGAGAAAGCTGACACAATACATATACAATACATAGTACCGCAACACTCTCCTGCCAATGCCCCATCGATGCCCGGTTATCTCGTGGCCGACCTCCCAAAGTCTAACACACTGAGCCACTTCCTTGACAGGGACTGGCCAGACTTTATCCCTCCATCCTGGAGGCGCATTAAACACTGTGTTTAAAACACATTGACAAAGCGCAACCTTCATCACTAACCTCATTAAGCGCTATCATCATGTCCGGTCTTGGTCTGTCGTCTCGACTTGCCTTGAGTGGGTTTATTCACCCAGTCGCGTGTATTGCTTTCCAAGGACGCCTCTCTGATGCCGCTTTCGGTCGTGACGGTGCTAGCCGAGCACGTTTCCTCCTCGAATCTGCTCTAACTAAACTCCTTTCCATTGTCATCGAAGGCAGGTGTCCCGACTACAACCTCACTACTCCATGCGACCGATGTCCGGATATTGAACAAGCTCTAAGCCGATTTACTGGCTTCATTGCTCCTCCTCCCCAACTTGTCACCTCTAAAGGAGGCAAAGCCTTTGTGGGTGTGATTTTTGCAAGTGTCAATTTCCATTCCTGAAATTTCCGAAGGAAATTTCGGAAAAATTTCCACGACCCTTGAATTTCCAGGAAATCTAACAAAAATGGCTATCTACTGATCTCTACGCACGTTTCGTTTATAAAAAAGCTCAATCTGCATTAAGAATAGCTCTCCGCATAGATAGAGTATCGTAGTGATGCTCAGAATTGGTTGTTGTGCGTAAAGGCCCCAACGGCTGGAATCGATCATCAAGGCGAGCGCTTACAAGTCTTCGCATGGCGATTCATGGCAATTGACCTCGCTCCGTCGAGCGCATCTATTTTCTCGCTCGCCTGTAACGCTCGAAAATGCAACTACAATGTAATTCATGATAAGTAATAAGGAGATATACTTTTGATCCAAGCATTTCCATGTCGAGTTCATCATCCACTGGACCGCCACGTTCGTCATGCGTCATGAGGTGCCACTTGAAACAACTTGAAGCAAGGTGAACTTGAACTTGAACTAAGTTCAATTCTTGAAGTTCAACTTGGGGTTACAGTAACCTAGTTACTTGGCAACTTGCCAATGGCAAGTAATACTTGCTTCTGTACTACAGCACCTGTACTGCAGCGGTGGGAGGCCAAGCTCAGCCCGAGTTTTCACCAGGTAATGTGGTCGGGGGTCGAAGACAGAGCTTCTCCTACGCGACGAGGGAGCCATTAAGAGATAGGCAATACAACAGGAAAGCCTTCAAAGACATGGATAAACCAGACTTCTTCAAGATACTGAACAGAATTCGACCACCCAAAAACGAGGTCTTTCGAGAGCGAAAACCTGTCTCTCACAAAGCTGCTTTGACGGATCGTCAGTCGTGACCATGATTGACGCACCTACATCCCTTTCGAGTCATCATTGGCTCCCGAGCTGAACGCGACACGCAATCGACAATGTAACGCATGGACCCACGAAACGACTCTCCAACTCGTGATCTTGCTCCTCTTGCACTTCCTCGATCCCGACTGCGCGCTAGCGCAGAAGCCCGGAAGCATCTTGGCGGAAATTTCCTGGAAATTCCGGAAATTTCCACCTTGAAACTTCCAAACACAGAATATCGTGCTGAATTTCCACTCACATCACACCCTGGGCAAAGGCAAAGGTGGCAAAGGCACTAGATTCCCTTCCGATTCAGTGCCAGCTAACAGTCACATTCAAGATCCCACAACCTCCAGCACTGGTATCGACAACCCGGTCAAGCCTGATCCTCATTATCACTCCTTCTCCTAGTCTACCGCTACCTTTCTGAGCCTACGTACCCCTACCATTCTTTTCCCATGTTTATCTTTACTACCATACGATAGTCTACAGCCACTGGAATGGCTCTCAGTAGACACCACATTTATCCTCCACCTCTGTGATGTGCCACTCTTATAACACAAGTATTGTCCCTTATCTGTTTGTCCCCATTATTGCTTAGCTCACACAATTAGCTGTAGTCTCGTCGATAATAACAGTTTCTCTTACCTACCCCCTGATATTATTCCTGTTGGGTTCTGAAGTATCACAACCTCTCATCTCATGTCACCGATCATCATTCACATCTCATCCCATTTCCCTCATCATTGATTCTCACCTCTAACCCACTTCCGAGTTCACTTCTCAGAATCAATTCTCACTCAGTTACATTCACTCCCTTCCCATTGTTGAACGTTCACAGCATATGCCACCAGCCATACGTCTTCACACCTCTAAACGGTCCCGTCATGGAAGTCGCAGTTGGTTCTCCTCTACCTGTCGACTCTTGCGAGCGGCTCTACACAAGGCTGGTCTCTCCTCCATGCTTGAATGTATTTTTGCCGACGATCTTTTCATTCTAAGACCTCGCGACATCCTCCGTTGCACCTACGGTTACCCCTATGAAGGAACTTCCCGTGAAGCTCTTCGAGTCTTCAGCGACTCCTTCAATAATGCAACCTCCATCCCACAACACATCGACACTGCCATTCACGCCGACCTCTCCTTCGGAGGTAGTCCTGTTCTCCCCACCATGCTCCTTGGTACCATAGCTATTCACAACTACGTTGACCCATCGGTCATCGAGGACATAAGAGCTCACAATCAAGCTCGTCTTCATATGTGGCTGGAGTCCGACGACGTCCTCCACACCCTCGAACAACCACCAGTGCCTTCACACTGGCGCCTCAACAATCTTACCTACCTCACCAGAATAACTCATTATCGTGACCAAGAGGTTGTTGCTGGCCTTAGGGACGGTTTTCCACAAACAAGGGTCATTCCCTCGGGCAACTTATTCCCCCCGCCAAGAAACCTAAACTAGCCCTAGGAGACAAGTCCTCGATGATATTCTCGGACAAGGACGCTTCTGCTATTTCAAGTTATCTCCGTCGGACTGCTCCTACAGACCACTAAATGAATACCGCTGTAATCAAGGACGTC